GGACAGGTCTGAGGGAGGCATACCCCTTTTAAAATTTTTAATTCATGAACCTAATACCGTACTGTTGGTGTATTACACATTGTTTAAAGAGAAGTAGCATGGAATAAAACAGGCATACTCATGGCCTTCTGAAAAATTAGAGGCTGGAATAATCCTTTTAGCATGCAGAATAGCAACATTGTGTAGGAGGTTGCCTACTGAAGATGTAAGAGGTTTCCTCTCTGTTCTACAAGGGCAGGGGCTAGAAATTTGTCTTGGGGTCCTTGGGAGGGTAAATAAAAGTGGGGACACTAACTGTAGTCTTCTCTGTAGAAGAGAGATGGTCATCACCTTGGAGATGACCAGGGTAGCCACACTTAGCAAGGTGGGCAAGAGGCCCTATTGCTATGGAAAGGAGGTGGAATGAGGTCCCTTGTGAAGTGAAGATAGACAGTGGGCTCTTGCTAGGCCCTGGAGAAGGACTGGACAGTGTTCCCAGTCTGCAGGAGGCAGAAGACAGTTCTGCTGTATGCTCCTGGGGTGTCTGGGGCCTGGGGAAAGGGTGTGGAGGACCACCCAGCAAAGGGCTTCAGGCCCCAGGTGGGGATCAGGCCCCTGGAATGGTGGAGGTCTTTCTGTGGGTGGAGTATAGCTCCCAGCAGCAGCCCTCAGGCCTGCAGGAAGTGGAGACCTCCCAGGGTCCCCTCCTCTTGGGGTCAGAGCCAGATGGATCTCCATTTGGATTGCGGAAGTCTCAAGGAGTTTTCCTCCAATGTTTAAAGATATGCCATATTTGATATATGCAAAATACAGTAATGTATCATACAGTCTCTATGATCCAGTATAATGATGAAGAGACACATGTGACTGGACTGTACACCAGCCTGGGAGACCCTTCCCCACCTTGTCCCCTGCCTCCCCCTCCCCACTAGGTGACCACATCTCTCTCCTCCCCTTTCAAAAATAGTGTCTCAAAACAATACGTTGGGGTGGTTTTTTTTAAAGATTTTTATTGGGGAACTGGGGGGATGGGAACAGCACTGGGTAATTGGGGGAAGGGGAACAGACAAGTTGCTGTCGTTTTTTGTTCTTCAGTCTAGTTGTGGAGGACTTCATTGGCCCAAGTTGGCACCATCATTGCGGTCTTCCCGGGCGAGGCAGATCAGTCGCCAGCTTCTGGACAGCCGCTCACAGCGGCTGCTGGCCGCTCACGCTGGCTGCTGGCTACATATGGTAGCCCATGGCAACCCACTGCCGCAGGGACTGCAGCCTACGCCGTCGCCGGTGACTCACGGCAGCCCAGCTCCAGGTTGAGCTGTTGTTCAGCATCTTAGCTGTAGGGGGCAGTGTCACTGGCCCTCATACGCGGGATCCTAACCGGGGCCCTCTGGCGTCCCAAGCCAGCTCTCAACCATTGCGCCACCTGGCCGGCCCACATTGGGGTTTTTTTAATGATATAAGATTGTATCATATTACATGCAACTTTCTTTTTACCTCAACAGCAAGTTGCTAAGAGTCATGATAGTGCATATAGTTGTTGTTCATTTAATCATTTTTCACTATATAATAATCCGTGATTTGTCCATTCTTTTTTTATGAGATATTTGATTGTTTCCATTTTTTGCTATTGTGGATGATGCTGCTCTGAGCATTCCTGCCCTGTTCCACAGGCACGTAGTCCCCAGAGACGAGTGCTGGCCAGAGGGCTCCTGAGTGCCCGCCTTTACCAGCTGGCACCACACTGTTTTCCCGTGAGGTCCCGATGCACATGCCTCCTTTTGATCCCCCTCTGGCTACACTTTGCAGTGGCCCAGTGCTTAGGAAATGGGGCAGAAGGACATGCAGGGGTCCTCCAGCACATGCAGAAAGCCAGCTGTTCTGTGGGTAGAAAAAGCTCATATGTGTTCCCAAATCCAGAATCATAAAATGTGCATGGTCTTCAGTGGTACCTTCCTGCAAGTTTATTTAAAGAAAGCACGTGAATGGAGTAAGGAACTACCTGTTGGCCCCACCATGTGTTGTGTTTGTATGTACATGATGTCCTCAAAGAAGGAAACAAACCTTTAGGAAGCACACATTGAGGAATTCCTCACAGAAAAATGGGCAATAACCTACTCATAAATGTTTGACAACAAAGGGATGGCTTAGCAGTATTCTGTATGCGAAATTATTTCATAAACATTAGAAATGGTCATGGGACCTGTGTAGCAACATGGGGTGCGTTTAAGAGCAGCCATCTAGACCCTTGATTGTCCTCATACCGTGAGCAGAGTTACAACAAAACACAAATCAGCACATAATTGAAGCCTCCTAAGGAACAGGTGGTCAGGCGTCAACTCGCCTTGTAGGAAAGTGAATTGCTCTCTCACAAACCACATCGAAGAGGGCTACATCCCAGGGATGGGGAACAACAGGAAGGAAGGAGACTTCACCCCCAGGGTCCCCATGAAACATGTGTCCCACCGGTTCTGACCACCTTTCTCTGAACAGGAGAGACCACCTGGTTGAAGTTGGCATTATTGAGCCTTTGTCACAGGCAGTGGCACCTTTATCCTAGTAAGAGAGCTACTGCATCATTGAGAAAGGCAGCACCCTGAGACCTGGGCCCATTGACCTCTTGGAGTATTTTGGTGACAACAATGTGAGCAGCTCTGGGCTTTTCCTCCACCCGGAGGCCATCCAGCCAGTTGCTGAAACCAGCAAATGCAGTTGGCTGCAATTCTGAAACTGAATAATGCATGAAGTGGTGTTGTTACAAATAACCAGGGATTTTATTTTAGCAAAATTTTAAACCAGGGAACTATGCCTCCCAGGAAGCTGCCTGGATGACAAAGCCACAAAATAAAACTGAAAAACAAAACAAACGAAAATCAACACCGTAACTATAAAAATCTGGGAAACATTTTCCTGACAAAAAAGCCAGAAAAGGTAAAAAAGCATTGAAACTTGTTTTAAACAAGTCTTTGTAAGCCAATCTACCCATGCCACTTTCATCCTGGGGCGGGTGCTTGACCAATACTACCCAGTTCTGAGAGACCGGAAAACTGGAAAATACAATTTTGAGTAAGTTAAAATGCCATGTGACCTTTAATTCATGCTCTTAATCTCTTTAGAAACTGGTTTTAATAGAAAAATCACTTGTCTTCAGGGAGTGCCAGATTAGCAGCCTGCCTGGGTGCTCTCATGTCTTGTCCAGTTCTTCTCATGAGAACCTGTCTTTCTTAGGTCATCCCATGACCAAGCCAGGACCACACCACTTGGGGGCAGGCAGTCAGTCTGTGATCTGTGAGGACAGACACATTCTGGTGCCAGCCAGAGGGGAAACAAGCCAGAGGATGGCCAGAGCAGGATGAATTCCCCCAAACTGGTGAGATGAAAGGAGCCAGAGGCACCTCCAGTGTGCGGCCAGGGCTGGGGGCCTTGTACTCACAGCAGAGGTGAGGGCTGTGTGTTGAGGGTGCATCCAAGTGTGTAACCGCAAGTGCATGCAAACTCAGAGTGCACAGGGGACCCCCATGGGGGCTGGGGCGGCGGAGAGCCTGCCCCAATGACAGAGTGTGAGTGCACATGACAAGCATCAGCATACAGGAAGCACTGAGGGGATGGCAGCTGATGGTGTGATGGTAAAGGGTGACTTCTAATTGTGATGCGCCCAGGGCTATGAGAGCTGAATGGGGGTTAACTTTCAGCCAACAAGTCACATCAGAGGCTGTGTGGGTAGTGAATGTGCTTGGAACAAAGACGTGTGTCGTCAAAGCAGATGTGTAACAACTGAGCATGAAGTGGCACGTAACAAACATGGTATGTGTGTAGCATCTGAGGGAATGTGTGGGTAACAGGGACTTATAAGAAAGAAGGCGGCCCCCGGGTATGTCCATAGTCCCAGCCCCTCCTGCCTTAAGCACGGCTAGGCATGGTGGGGTTGTGATCCAGGTAACAGGGTGTCCTGGTAACCATCCTGGCCTTGGGGTTTCTGAGTCCCTTCAGTGGGGTGAGGCTTCATGGGGAGCCCAGTGGCAGCCCCTTCCCAGGGCCACAGGAGCTGGCCACACTGACCCATGCTGAGAGGACCCATGGACATAGCGTGGGGGAGCTCTGAGAGGGGCATCCTGAGGGCCTCGGGCAGGATCCTGAGAAGGAGGGACCCAAGGACCAGCCTGGGGAAGGAGAGCATCACAGGTAGGGGGAACAGCATTAGCAGAGTCCGGGGCGTGAACAGGGCTGAGCTGCTAGTCCCCGGCCAGAGTCTCCACAGGCCAGCACAGCACACACAGGCCCTCACCACAGGATGTGGCGGTACCACATCTGGTTTGGCCTCATCCCTGCCAAGATGCCCTTCCTCAGTTGTGTTCTCATTCTTGTTTTTCAAAACCTCAAGCATACTCTGTTCTGTTCTTCCCAAAGTTATGGCACTTTTATTTATCATCCAAGGAAACTGAGAAAGGATATCATATACTTAATCAGTCACTAAGGGGACATTCAGTCCCTCCTAAGAGACTCCCATGGCTGGCTGTCTCCCCAAAGCCAGAAGTGTGGATCCTCATTGCCAAGTGGCCCAACACACACTG